GGCTTGTAACCCTAATTGAGGAGGCTATTGAATTTGAGTTTTTGAGAGACTTTTCTCTTTGGTTCGTTTCAAAACTTTACAGAACTTATCAAGATTATTCTTGTGGCGTTCTAACTTGACTTATCATTCTCGTTCTTAGTCGTTCGAGGGTGTGGCGTCAACCAACTTTATACCTCTGGTTCTTGTTGCGTCATAGACAACGGGTCAAGGTTTCTACCTTTGGTTCTTGTTGCGACATAAACAATGGGTCAAGGTCCTATTATAAATCTGATTTAGCTTTCCTGAAGTTTAGAAATCCCTTGTCGTGCTGTAGGTCTCATTGTTTTCTTTGGGGTTCTCATCATAAATTCTGTAAAGTTCTAAAATGAACCAAAGAGAAGAGTCTCTCAAAAAACTCAGATAACAATAGCTACCCCAATTAGGATTATAAGCCCTTTAAATAGGGAAACGTAATTCTAATTAAAATAGGAAATTAACACCTTAAGCCCTAATCCTAGTAACCATGAATTGGGTTTCAAATAAATGAATGTTCAGCCCAAAATAATATAAAAAATGTCAACATCACTGAAAATAACCTGAAGTAATATGAAATATCAACTTGTTACAAATTGCGACAGAATTGCGGGACTTTGATGCAAATTGTGTAATTTAGCATAAATGGCCTCAATTAAGCTTCTCTTGAACCTGAATGGTGTTTAGCATGCCTTGATAATCATCCAAGCTTTGATTTACTTGTTGCATGTTGTTATCAACCCAGATCTACTCAATAGGGCCATTTAAAGCTTTTCGCATCTTCCTAGCTCTAGCTCTCGTGATTGGACCTCCTAGAATGTGTATTGGATCTCTTGACATGGTACATGTGGGGTCATCTTGATTCCCATCATTCCCTAGTGCTTGATTTGTCATCACCACTTGAAGACACCATGTGGATGAATCTTTCATGCTCAAAGCAATGCAACAACAATGTCAGAGGCTGGACATCATGTTTGATTCATCCACATGGTGTCTTCTAGTGGTTGATTTGTCATCACCACTTAACATTATTAAAACCTGCAACAAATGTTAGGAACAAAAGAATAAAAGGACCTCACAACACTCCCTTACGTGTTTCACTCCACTCTCTCACAGAAGGGCACTCAACGCTCATGTTTTGCACACTATAGGACTTGGCTTTTCTCTCAAGTGTTGCTCACACCTCTTGCCTTTTTCCCTTGCTCAACTTTCCTCTTTTAGTTCGTTATTGAACTAAACAAGCTCAATTCAAGTTATTTTACAGCAATCTAACTTCAACAAATCTGCTACAAGAGTTAAAGGAAACAAAAAGACACAAAGGAACGAACAAGAGAAGCAATAAAAGAACCAAACCCAAACAAATTAAAACGAACAGATCAGTTCAACCACTTCCTAGTAGGAATTGACTTTAAATTTCCTTAATGCAGTAAGATTCCTAACTTAGGAAGGAATAAACAAAATTTGCTATCTCCTTATTTGAATGGAACTCAAAGAGAATTTCCAACTCCTTATTGTAGTATGATTCCTTCTTTCAACTCCTTATTGGAGTAGGATTCCTTCTTCTTTAAGGATTTGGCCACATATTTTTTCTCTATATAAGGAATCCCAACCACAGAATTGTGTTGCTTGTTTCTCTCTCTCCTTTTTTTTTTCTTTAATTTTTTTTGCGTCTCTTTTTTTTTTTTAGCGATCCTCTTCCCTTTTTTTTTACGACTTCTTTCTTTTTTTTTTCTTATTTTCGTGCTTTTTCTCTCTCTTTTTTTTTCAACCAATAACATAAATTCAAAAGAACAACAGAAGACAGAGAAGAATCACACTGAAGTTTTTTTCTTACGATAAAAACTGAAAATTAAAGATACGCAAACCTAATTTAGGATATGATGCTTTGATACCAAGATGATGAGAACCCCAAAGAGAACAATGAGACCCATAACATGACAAGGGATTTCTAAACTCCAAGAAAGCCAAATCAAGTTTATAATAAGACCTTGACCCGTTGTTTATATTGCAACAAGAACCAAAGGTAAAAAAACCTCGACCCATTGTCTATGACGCAACAAAAACCAAAGGTATAAAGTTGGTTGACGCCACACCTTCGAACGATTAAGAACGAGAATGATAAGTCATATTAGAACGCCACAAGAATAATCTTGATAAGTTTTGTAAAGTTCTAAAATGAACTAAAGAGAAAAGTCTCTCAAAAAACTCCGATTCAATAGCTACCCTAATTAGGGTTATAAGCCCTTTAAATAGGGAAAAGTAATTCTAATCAAAATAGGGAAAAGTAATTCTAATCAAAATAGGAAACTAACACCCTAAGCCCTAATTCTAATAATCACAAATTGGGCCTCAAATAAATAAATGTTTAGCCCAAAATAATATAAAAAACGTGAAAATCACTGAAAGTAACCTAAAGTAACATGAAATAGCAGTATGTTACAAATTGCGACAAAATTACGGGATTTTGACACAAATTGTGTAATTTAGCATAAATGACCTTAATTAAGCTTCTCTTGAACCTGAATGATGTTTACCATGCCTTGATAATCATCCAAGCTTCGATTTACTTGTTGCATGTTGTTATCAACCTAGATCTGCTTAATAAGACCATTTAAAGTTTTTCGCATCTTCCTAGCTCTAGCTCTTATGACTGGACCTCTTGGAATGTGTAATGGATCTCTTGATGTGGTACATGTGGAGTCATCTTGATTCTCATCAAGCTTCCACCACACCTAGTAGCTCAGTATGCTCAATCTTTCACATTCGAGACGTATCTGGCTTTGGAAGCAAATGCAACTGTCATCTCTAAAGGCCCCAGATGGGTCTCTTGGACACCTCCACCATAGTTTCTTAAGCTTAACACAGATGGTTCTCAAGATCATGGTTCAGGTAAAATAGCTGCTAGTGGTCTTATTTGAGATCATTATGGGGGCTAGATTCATGGCTTTACAGTGAATGTGGGCATTACCTCTAGTTTTCTACCCAAGCTTGGTCACCAATTTTCTCAAGAAATGAGTCGGTGGATAAAGGGCTTGGGGGGTTGTCGGGAAAGAAGAGGAGTAGAAACACGCGAGTCTGATGAGGAAGAAAAGAAAGAAAGAAAAAAAGAAAAAGGAAAACAGCTGATCCTTATCCTAATTTCTTTTCTTTTTAGTCCCTCAACTTTTGAAATTTTCACTATTAACCCCCTCAATAATATTTTCTATCAACAAGGTCCTTACTCAAATGCTAAAATATCACAAAATTTTGGGATATTACACTATTCAAAGTTTTGATTAATTATTCATCATTAAATATTTATTTTTTAGTCTTTTATGGACTTCATATTGAAAAAATACCACTTTATCACAATCCTTCAAGGACACCTATTTCTTCAAGAACGTCTTTTTTAAGGAATGTTTTATTCCATTCTACAATTGAATCTTTATTATTCACTATAGCTAAATGAATTTTCACATCAAGAGTTCATAACAAATAGTTGGAGCCCAATTTTTCAAGGGTAATGAACTCATATCTTATGTAGAGAATTGTTATACCACAACAAAATATTCAAATTAGAGACTGTAAATTGAAGTTCTTGCCTCAAGATTTTACCTCAAAGTTTTACCTCAATTTGAATCTTTTCCTCAATTGATCCATTACTTTAAATAAAATCTTAGAGAAAAATCATATAGAGACAATTTGCATTAATAACATGTCACAAAATAAAGAAAGAAACAAGTTGAAAAGGTATGAAGTATAAATGTAAAGAGAAACAATGAGATCATGAAGAGTTCCATTTCTTTTTCTTTCTTTCATATCATTTCCATACAAGTTACAAGCCTATATATAGGCTAGAAAGAGGATAAGAGTTACAAATCTTCCACTAACTCATGAGTTATGTAAATCTAATCACCTACTAAATAAGAATTAATCAACAAGTAAATGTTTGAAAATTGGGTGTTAATAGAATGTGTAAATTAATGCATGAAATTATCTGGTGTTAATTAGCATTTTAATTACATGGAAGAAGTAGAAGGTGTGTAAGATAAAGAGTGAAGGTGAAACATCCATCAATATTAGTTTGATTTGTAATATAAGACTCAACCCTTAGTTAATGTTTTTACTCTAATTGATTTCTTAAAACATATATATTCTCAATTTTGCTTTCCATCCAAATAAATACACTCATTAATAACAAAGTTCCATTATTTTTATAATAACTATATATTTTTTTATTACAATTGTTATAAAAAAATAAAATTGGACTTTAATTTTACCAACCACCTAATTAAAATCATCTATATGGTGTTAATGTTAAAAATAAAATTAATTTTTTATGCTGATTATTAAAAAATGTGTAATTAACATGCTCTTAATATTTGCACATAAAAACACATGTTCAAAATAAGCAAATTAGGCAAATCAACTCCAATACTGCACTTTAGGTTAGAAGACACCCCCTCAACCTTTTCATTGGTAAATAACCCTCTCTAGTTGTCAACCTATAAATTATGCATATCCTCTATGTAATGTTGAAGGTTAAATTATATTTATAAATAGTTGGTCCAAGAGCCAACTATGTATAGTTTTAAGGTTGATTTAAGCTATAAGTTGGGGCTATTTATCCTTTAATAAAGGGGGAAGGAAAAAAAAAATAAAGAAAAGTGCAATTCCAAAGTCACGTGAAAAGAAGGCAAGGGAAAAAAAAGGAAGGAATAGACTAAAAGGAGAACCAATGGGTAGACAAAAGTAGTAAAGGTCAAGAAGACCAAATGAATATGTGATAGATTGATAACGTGATTTGAAACAAAGGCCAATTTGCCTAGAACAACAATTAGATGAAATATTTTGAAGGTGCTTGACCTAAAATAGAGTAGATAGTTGATTTGCATAATTTGCCTTAAACATACCTTATCATTATTTCTTTCTTATCAACCAAATCACTAATAGTCCATAATCGGTTACCTATAAAATCAAATAAAAAAAATAAAAGCTTATCTAACTTATGTTGTGCAATAAATGTATTCTTTTGTCTAATTTATATAAAAAAAAACCCTTTTTTTTTTACTTGGTGTTACATGAGTTATATTTTAGTTTTTCATATTAGAGTTTAGATTCTATAATATATTTTAGTTAAAAGATTCTAACTGCATTTGATAATTAGCAAGGATATTTTTTAAAGTTATAATTAGCAATAAATTTATATCTATATTACGTTTTTTTGTAATTATTTTTATGAATAGGAGCATTCCATGTGCTCATTCAAATTTTTTTTAAAAAATTGCTGTTCCAAAAAAATGATAAACTAATTTTAAAGAATTGTAGGTTGTATTTGTTAAATAGATTAAAGAATAAAGTGTTAAATTTTTTTGCATTATGTATTCAAAAAAATGTTTTTGAATCCATGTTGCACCAAAATATATATTTTGCCTTAAGATAATTTTGTATTTTTACAAGCTGAAGTGTTTGTATTTTTCATTTTGAAAAATTGTGCTCCTATATATTGTAAATTAGAGTTGACATTTTTTCAATTTTATAATATTAAATTGTCATTTTTGTTTTATCTCTTTTTTTTCCCCCCATTTTTAGCTATTCATCCTCTAATTGCAACAAACCTTCAAGTTCTTCCCAGTGTCTTCTCTTTGAACATAATTATAAAGCTCTAAGGTTGGTCCTTGAGGTAGACACTCCAATGTTTAAGTCAACAATAATCTATCTACTCAAAGAAAGAAGGGAAGGAAAGCTCTAGGTTAGTTTTCAATTACTTGTCGTAAGTGACCCTTAGGGGCATTTATAGACCTTAATAAGGTATCAACTTGGCCTTTTTAGCAAAATAATTAAGATCTGACATCTCCATCAAAGCATGCATCTCAAGAATGGAGATTAGATAAGTGCGATCCTACTGTAGCCATCATGCAACTAGAGAGAGCTCAACCTAGGTCGTACCTTAGTTGTTAAGTGATTTAAGCTCGAACCTAGCTTATGAAAATAACCAAAAGTCTAGATAACATACATATAATATGTTCAAGATTAGTGATCTTGGACCTACACTTACACATCCCAAGCATGGGACAATTTTAGTTGTAATTGTGCTTTTTATTTAGATTAAATGCCAATTTTAGTTCCTCAACTTTAAGATTTTACATAATTTTCATCCCTTAACTTTTTTATATACTTTTTTGGTCCTTTAACTATGAAAAATGTACTTTTTTAGTTCTTCCGTTAATTACTTTGTTAAGTCTATTTGAATTTGCATATTTTTAGTCCCTCAACTTCTGATATATGCACATTTTTCATCTCTCAACTTAAAAATGTGCATATTTAGACCAACTTAATAGACAAATTGACAGAAGGACTAAGAAAGTATATTTTTTATAGTCAAGGGACCAAAAAAGTGCATAAAAAAGTTAAGGGATGCAAATTATGTAAAACTTTAGAGTTAAGGACCAAAATTGGCATTTAACCTTTTATTTAATGAGATTTAAAATTTTATTGTTTATCTATATCTATATATATATA